TTAAAAATTTGAAGGAAAACTTGATTTTGAATAAAAGAAAACTCTAATATTACCTTTTTGACAATAATATTGCACTCACTCCTTTCAAGAAACACAAGAATTGCTAAAATTGCTAGTTAACAGCTTACCAGTCTGACTGATTGTGTGACAGAAGCAAACACAAACAAGCACAGACGTGGCGCGTTCGTATTGCATGTTTGAACAACTCGCCGACAAGTGAGTAACTCGTCACAAAAAATTATTTCGGTTTAGTATGTACTACCATTTTATTATAAATAATTTTATAACAATATATTGATGGGAGAAAGTCGATAAAATAAATTCAATTTTAAAAATGCTTGGCGGGCCGCACAAACATGTTTAACGGGCCGCGTGTTGCTCATCCCTGGGGTACAAGATTCCGAACCAGATTCTTACTTAGTCCTGATTAATTTTGGCATCAGCGTATTAGCCAGATCTATAAAAAACGTCGATTACTGAATAAATAAAGGACAGACTTTGACATATACTTTAAATTTTCATATTACACACATAAATTTTCATTAGCATCTGTTTGTTCTGTCTGTTTTAGCTCTGACCTCGAGATTAAGAAAGAATAGATGACAGTCAAAACCAGACATGGAAAGCTTTGGAGCAGTAAATCCCGATTAACTGTATTCGAGCTTCTGATTTGAACACGTTATTTCAATTCGAAAATTTTCCCCCGAACGGAATTACATACATAACCGGTATGACTCTATTGATAACAGGAAAAGTATGATGCACAGAGGCAAAAGCTATTAAAATTGATAACATATACTTTAAATTAAATAAGATAAAAATATGAATAGAAATTGCATCCCGGCATTGTGACGATGTCACAATAAATAATTGCTCGTTTATTTTGGATCTAAGTAGTATGCTGGTGCTTTTTCCTGCCTCAATTATCTATTCACTGAAATGCTTAACCTAATGATCGGCTTTCATCATTACTAGAGCATTCTCGCGTACTTCAAATTTCGGGATTGACTGCCAAGATGTAAGGATCGTCTATTAATCACACGATCCTGAATAAAAATAAAATGTAACATATCTAAAAGTAGATTTAAAATAGCTATAAGGTAATTTTAAGTTAAGTTAGATATAAGTTAAGTTAGATATAAGTTTTTAGCTGTTTGTTCTTGTTGTCCTTACGTTATTCTGCTTACTATAGGCTTGTTAGCTTAGGTTCTGTATTAATTTTAGTAGTAGATTAAGCCTTCATTCTAGTTTTAAGTCTTAATCATTACTCTGTCTTGTTTATATGTAGCCGCACTACTTATGGGTGTAAGCTACAACTTGGGTTTTCTTTTAGATCTACGGCCTTGCAGCCTGAAAATTGCACGCTAACTTTAAACGTAGTGGGAGTGGTAACCTCACATTCTCTGTTCAGTGGGATTCTCCCCTTTCCATTTCCTTCTTTCTATCTTTTCTCCTTCTTCCCTTTTCTTTTTCTTCTTCCGACAAAACACTTAGTGTATGGCCGTTGTCTTTTGTTATTTGTTGCTCTCACATTAAAATGCATTTTCATCACACTTAGGTATGTTCTCAAAGTTTCACACTTTTTAAGATCTAAAGATTCAAAAGATCTTGAAAGATCTTGCATCTCAAATTTCATCCTCTTCTAATTTTGAGATGAAGATAAAAGTTTAGATGCAAAATTTAAAACCCATACAAAGCAGGTTAAAGAAAGCGTTTACAAATTACAACTGTTAGGAAGTTGACTACTCATATCGATATGAGAACTCGTCACTGTTCAATTATTTAATTTTGAACCAAAAATCAATTTATTATTATTAATCTTATAAACTTGTAGAAAATTCAATTAACTTCAATAAAATTCATTTATATTCAAGTAAATAATTCAAATATTTATTGATATTAATATTTTTAAACAGAATAATTTATAACTATCAAGTATGGGATATTATTATTCGTTATTTACCTCGAATACACAACGGTTTTAGACAACTTGTGATCGATACGAAGGAATCATTAGACTTATACGACAAAATTTATGAATCATTATCGGATATGAATAAACTGAAGTGGAAAACTTGCATCCAAGATATGGAAATATATACAGAATTAGGATTAGACTACATAATGCTAAAATCCATGAATCGAAAAGACGACATAAATGAGGTATATCATTACAGTATTTTATTCTTACATTATTTTCATTCTTACAGTGTTACACTAATCATTAATTTTACTAAACTATATTAATACATATTTTTAGGTAAAAAGTTATTCCAAACAAATACGTGAAACACTAGATGAAATATTTTCCGAAGAAGACTGGTTCGATAGCTACAGCAAAAATCTCACCAGAATTAAAGTAAAATTTTAATGTTTATTTAATGTTTTTAATAACTGAGAAATATTGCTACCTGTAATTTTTCATGTTTTTAATCAGAATTACATTATTACTAATATAATATATAATATGTTGTTCTGAACTCTGATTGTCGTCTTAATTTTATCTCTCGAGTGCATCTGCTTTAAGGTTGGCGCACGAATATAATTCCTTTGCGACATCGTGGCACCGACAGAAATGTATGTCCGCACATACCAAAGCTATAATTTATAGCTTTTCAGCCAAATTCAGATGGCTAAAGGGGTGAACAACACGTTTCTCTTTTTTGTTAACTTTGATGTTAAAACTAGTGACGCTGGGTGCATGACATAAATGTTTCGAAGTTTGAAGTTTTCACTTCCAGCTCTCTTTCAATTCTTTTATTACCGTATATATTCTAAATATTCCGAAAACCAGACAGGTTCTTATTACTTGATTTTCTCTTTTAATTTTTTATTTTTATTTTGAACTTGTAAGATATGTCCATCAGGCATGGGGAAAACATCTACAGATGAATTGTCGATGTTTCTTGTACCGTGGTATTTGAATTATTCAGTTTTGATGAAGAATACATTTTTAGAGGAAGGATATACTGAAGATTTGCTGCTAAGAATTTATCTATTTTGCTAAAAGATTGCCAAGTTACTTCGTTCTTGCACACGATTTTTGTTTTTCTTTATTTCAGCTATAAGTCAGTATCAAATTTCTCATTTGGTATCATACGCCATGCCAACCAAGTTGTTTCTACCGTAAAATAGTCTATAACAGCGATTCTCAATTTAGTTTTTGGTCTATAATTATAATCATACTTAAAATTACGATTCATTTATATTTTTTTTTAGTTATTAAAATTTTTAAAAGATGAATGTAAATTTGGTTTCCTGTTTTATTCAGTTATACACCTATAAATGATTCAGAATATAATACAGTAATTTGAGTTATGATAACACTCTTAAATACATTTTTTTATTTTATTTTTTTTTGCCTTTCTGATAATTCTTGAGATTACTGGTAGGTCTGCTAAAGTGCTAAAAGTAAAAGGTTTTCCTGTAAATTATTTTTTACTTTTCTAAATAAATTTCTCTTCATAATAAGAATCTAAAAGTTATACAAATTAAAACACATTTTTGTTAATTCAAAATTTAAAATATGAACATGTATCACAAACACATTGGATATTTAAATACAAGGAATTTAAACAGATCTGAAGTGAAATGCCGATTATTTTAACTGCATATTAAGGACATATTTTTCTAATACATTCATCATATTGTTCTAACAACGTATAATTAAAATGATTATTATAATTGAGTATGTTTTTTTCATATCCATTAAAACACTAGTTACAATATAATTTTTTTTAACTGAAAATTTACATAACATTATTGTTAGCATTAATTTATATTAAACACTGCATTAAAAGAAGTATTCTCATCTGAAAAGCAAAATATTGCTAAAAAAATGCAAAAAATAATTATAAGAATCACACAATATATAATTTAAACTTTGTCAGTATATTGTAGAATTCGTGCAATTGTACATGTAAGAATATTTAAATATTATTTAATTTAATTTAAAATTTCTAACGTATTTCAAGTCGAATTAAAATATGATATTTATTTAGGTTTAAAACAATTTAGGTATAATTACTGTATTAAAAATTTTTATATAATTTTTTATTTTAATGTAGTTGAAGAAAATCGGACAGCATATAGGATACGAAAATGGTTCTATTAATGCAGAATTTTTAAATACGATGTTTAATAATGTAAGTAAAAACTAATCTGTTTAAAATATTAATTTTAAAAAATATTAGATGATTAAAAAATTGATTCAGTATTGTAATTTAAAATTGTATATTGAAAAATCCATTATCATATTATTAATATAGAATAAGTAGCAGTTAAGCCTGGACTCCACATTACCTGAAAACAAAAACTCACAAACAGAACTGAAACATATAGAGTTTTCGTTTCAGTTATGTTTTCGTTTTAACTTGACTCCACTAGAAATTGCGCCATCCGTTGATTAGTTCTGTAATTGTCGTAGAGTCAAACATGGACGACGCTACGGATTTTGCCGTGCTTTCTCTGCATTTATTAACAATTTCATTGTTAATAATCTTTGAATTATTTACATTTTTTGTCGCATTTTATAACTTCTTCGATGAAGAATTCCAAATCTATTTGTTTCCTCATCGTTTTCGCTACACTTTCCGCCATTACGATAATCAAACTACATGTGACTAATGCACGTGACTACGCATCACAAATCCTTGCGTTTTTATTGGTTGCAGTAAGACAGAAGCGCGGGACGAAAACGGAAAAGTTAAATAATTTTTAACTCTGCTTTCAATCTTGTTTCTGTCCAACTGAACGTTACAAAACTGAAAGTTTCGTCAGTTTGGCTTTCAGTTTTACGATTACGTCGCGGATTCCGGTAATGTGGAGTCCAGGCTTTATTTAAAAAAGTATAAATTACAAAGAATGTTTTAATTATTTAGAATAAATTATATAATTTTATTCTAAATGATTCTGTCGTCACCGAAGAAAATTTATTTTGTGTGTTTTAAATATTGAGGCGAATAAGAACCTACGGCGGAATTGAAATTCTATGATCGACTCTGCCGAAAATATCAAAACTTTAAAAAGTAAATGATAATTGAATAAGAATAGTAAAGAGAATGAATTTACTGTTATTTTTCTTGATAAAGAATTCATATAATCATGTTTATAGTTTATTTTCTATAGTTATTCTTGTGTGACCAGAAGGTCGGCATTTCTTTAGTGCCTCGTCAGGACTGACACCATCGTGTCTTCTAGGATAGACACAGAAACCTTAACGGTCTCAAATTCGGAATTCGCGTGAGCGGTCACGTGGGCGGATGATCGAATTCGGAGGATTGAGAGCCGGCTCGGAACTGAATCACTCAGGTTAACAACTAAAATAACCGATTTGATTGAACTAAAAAGAATACATAGCTTCATATATCGAATTACGGTCGAGAGAGAGTTTACAAGAAACCGCGAATTGGTATACATTCCTGTGATGCACTTAATTGTGTGGACATTCAGATCGATGAACTTCGATCGGTCGGTCGCCGGGAACTTCTTTCAGTTCGGTCGGCTCTAGCAGTTGGGAGGCGTTATATTTTCGTTTTGCTTGGACGGCGGTCAAACCGATAGAGCACTGGAGAATATAATCCGGGGAGTTCGACGGTGTTCTAACAAAACACGGGGTAAAAATTATTGATAGCCTGACGAAGATACCTCTCTTTCTGTTCACCTCGTTGACGCTCTCGTAAACTCTCGACGACCACTTGTCTTTGAATCACTCCTTTTTATACCTCCAAATCACCAATTTTATCCTTTTCCACCAATCGTGAGTCTTTTCTATTAGTTTCCAGTGACACATTCGATGAGTTCCCAGGAAAAGAAAACGACTCCAGAGAGAGAGATGCGATCATTCTCCGGTAATAAAAAATAGAAACATTTTTCGAAAGACGAAAAAGAATGGTTTTTCCAAATTTTTGTAAAGTTCGACTCTCACACTTGCTATGAAGTTTGTTTTACTTCTTATAATCGGTTTGTTAATCTGCATTTTAGATTGCAATATTGTTTTGAACTTTATTTGGATCCTACATACTTTAGAAGATGTTATAAATTGATTTATTAAAGTGAATAGCATATGAAATTTTAATATTCCTAACAATAAATAAATTTACTTCAAATACTCGTAGTTGCATAACTATTTGTAAAATACCGGTTCGTGTCTTATATATCTCTAACAGTTAGAACAGAATAGTACATTAAAATATTTTTAATTAAATTACTTTTTCTATATTTCAATCTATGTATTCAGACCCTTTTAAAGGAATAAATATTACAAACAAATACATTATTTTTCATAACGTTGTTTATTAATTTTTACAATGTTAGTATATAAAATAAAACAACACAACAGATTAAAGAGTAACTGAACAAGTACAAAATGAAATTAACGCTTATTTATTAACGTTTTCTGTTTTGACTATCGACTTTAATACAGTAGAGTGTAGTTTATCCGAATCAATTAAGGACTGGGGATGTTCGGATAACCGATTATGTACGAAAAAATACATTAACCTATCCTGTGTTGAAATTTTTCTCCGTTGCGTGTNAATGTCGTAATGGGAGTCAAATAATATGTAAATCTACATTAAATGTTAATAATGTTTACCAACTTCAAGACATTGTAATATCATTAGTTCAAATAATAATCTATAATATTAAATATTGAAATGTTAAATAAATCAACAATCATACATTGTAAAAAATATAGTAGATGTCAGATATGTAAATTTATATTGTAGAAGTTATGTAAATTCGTATTATATTGTCAACGCGTATTAAAGGAAATAAGGATTTTGTAAACAGATTTATGAGTAGAAGGAATAATCAATTGTATACCAATTTGATAATTGTTGTCCAATGTATGTTTTAGATCAAGGATTTTATAGAACTGTTTTATAAGTAAAAGGTACAATCAATTGTGTACAACTTTAATAACAGCCGTACTCAAGGTATGCCTTAATTGAAGATAGTTTTATAGATTCTGTAAAACTGATGTTTAGTTTGTATATATGTCGTATACTCCCCTAATATTATAGTTGGCTAAAAGAAAAAATATTGTGAACAATCTGATGTTACTGGAAAATATCGGGAGTAGCTGTTACTTCAATTTTCAAAACTTGTATGCATAGGTATGTTTTATATTTTTATGAATTTTACAAAACTTGTGTATTTTTTATATGTATGTTGTATACTCCCCTAATATTATAGTTGGCTAAAAGAAAAAATATTGTGAACAATCTGATGTTACTGGAAAATATCGGGAGTAGCTGTTACTTCAATTTTCAAAACTTGTATGCATAGGTATGTTTTATATTTTTATGAATTTTACAAAACTTGTGTATTTTTTATATGTATGTTATATCCTTTTTTAATGTTTTAGTTGACTGAAGAGGGGCTTAAAAGCCCGAAACGTGTAATTTTTTCACACGTATCAACTAAATAAAGATGAGAAAACCCGCCAAGTGTCTTAATTTATAGCACTTTATTGTGTTAGAAGCATAAACGAATTGAAAGTACGGTTTCATATCATCAAAACAAAGGAAAAGTACCTACTTTATGAAGGCATAGAGCCTTTACTACATGAAAATGAAAATTAATGAATACACAGTGTAGAGTAATTTACCTGATAAGACAGACCCCAGAAAAATACTTTAAGAGGCATAAAGCTGTCTATAATGAAAACTAACTAGGGGATTTTTGCCCTGCCAGGGTGTGGCCGAGTTATCCGGACTGCCGGATTATCGAGTGCCGAGTTTTCGGGACTCTACTGTATTACTGTCACTTTTAAATTTTAGTAGTAATAGAATTTAATGATTCGTTTTATAAAGAATGGGAAGGAGCAGATACGGTTGGTTTCGTGACGAATTGTGTAGTCTGGAACAGTTCTTTCTAAATNTACGACGCAAAATATATTTAAGAGTTTACGACCACTGTGCTGGGTGAGACGTTGTTGAAACAAAAAAAGTTATGCATTCCATCACGTACATAAACAGTATCGTAATTCGCCAAGTGCAAATCAGCAAATTCGTAAAATTTTTGTTTATTTTGAACAATCCGGATAATCGAGGTTCTACTGTAAATATGGAAAGCTTTTAGTTTATACAAGCAGTTAAGTCCCCAGATTGGAGATGCATAGTATATGATTGAATCAATAATTGAAAAAAATAAATGATTAGTAAATAAGAATAGTAAATAAAATGAATTTACTGTTATTTTTCGTGAAAAAGAACTCATAAAATCATGTTTCCAGTTTATTTTCTTCAGTGTTGCTTGTTATGAATCTTATCGGTTTGTTATTTTGTATTTTAGATTGCAATATTTTGAACTTTATTTTAATCCTGCATACTTTAGAGAATGTTATAAATTGCTTTATTAAAATGAATACCATATGAAATTTTTAATTCTCTTAACAATAGATAAATTTACTTCAAATACTTGTAGTTGCATAACTATTTGTAAAATACCGGTTCATGTCTTACATAGATATATAAGACATGAACCATATATCTGTAACAGAACAGAATAGTACATTAAAACTAAAACATTTTAAATTAATTTACTCTTTCTATATTTCGATCTATGTATTCAGACCCTTACAAGGGTTTTTAAAAAAATAAGGATTAAAAATAAATATATTATTTTTCATAACGTTGTTTATTAATTTTTACAATATTAGTATATAAAATATACAACACAATAGACTAAAGACAACCTGAACAATTGCAAAATAAAATTAACGCTTATTTATTAACGTTTTTTGTTTGAACTATCAACTAATATCTTTTATTGTTTTCTTCATGAATATTCTTAATATCGCAGAAACAATTTTAAATCAACACTCAACAGAAGAAAGTACGATAATTATTCGAAAATAAATTAAAATTATTACTTTTTCCAGATCAATATCACAGATAATTATATTCAAAATATCTTAGCTGTGAAAAAGCAAATGACGTCCGATGAAATGTTTGATCAAAGAGTTGCTTTTTATTTTCGAGAAGAGTAAGCAAATTTTGTTTAATATAATTTTATTCTTTTGTATAAAGTGGTGGACTTATTTGTTTATTTTTCTATATAGAATAAAAATAGCCCCAATGCAGGTTGGTGCAAGTTTAGGATATGATGGAGTGGGAATAGCAATTGGTATTAATATTCTTTATATTTATTAGTTAAAAAAACGATAACTTCTTCTTTGGACTCTTTCCGCTCAGTGATACTAAAACGGCCTCTTTTCAGGCCATCTTAGTATCAGAGCGAACCCACACGGAAAGGACGGGTCTCGACATATCTGAGACAGATCAAACCCTGTAAAATTCCTGGGGTTTCGACTGTCCGTATTTGATTCCAAGTACCGGTACTGTACGTAGCTGACGCCGCAACTTTTCGGCCATCGCGGGTTATGATGATAATTATATATACAGATTTATTAATTATACAGTTTTTGTGTATACTGAATTTAAACTAATTTACTAACTAAATTTAAAGTATAAGTGTTAACGGTTTTAGTTTAAATGTTAATGTCTCTGAATCAACATAAATCCACATTACGCTTGTATAAGTATTATTAAGATTTTATATATATTTAGAAATACCGTTAGCATTGATGTATCCTCCTTTCTATGCCTATGGATTACCTCAGTAAGTATCAAAGAACTAAGTAAAATCCCAAAATTTTAAAATAATAATTTTTATCGTTTTTATTATAATAGATACCTGAATTTTGGTAGAATGGCTTTTATAATTGGTCATGAATATTCACATGTATTCGATCATTTGGATATCCCAGCAGGTAAGATTTACAGTACTTTAAAGGAATTTTTAAAGTGTGTTTAAATAAATAAAGGTTTGATTAAATGATTTGAATGTAAATAAATAAGTATCTAATTTTATAAATGTTATGAATGTGAATTCTTTTACGTTAAACTAAGGACATTTACTTTTAAGTTTATTGAAATGGGCACTGTTTAGGAGATGCAAACGGATTAATTCACTTTCCATTATTTCTAATGAGAAAAATTGATTCAAACTTTGACTAATTCAGAGTTCTAATGGCTCCTAAAACGAATTAAATTGGAATACAAGGCATCATTGTAATTTCAAAACAATACAATAATGTTATTATTATATGTTTTTATATGTTAATCGATATCTATTTTGCTATTTTGGTATTATATATAGTCCTTATTTGTAATCCAACGAAGCTAGTATTCTATGTTCATGATTTTGTTCTCCTAGTTTCGCTAGGCGATAATAATTTAAAGGGTAAAATCTTTATTATTACAGTTTTGAACTACGAAGAATTTGGTTCTTAATAATTCGGCATTTTATCCAATATTATCGCTTATGCTCTTCCGTTTCTATTAAAAATGTTAGTCACTTCATTACATCTTGTTTTCCTGTTTACTCTAGTTTTATTTCTGTGTACAACATTTTGTTTTATATAGTCTACTTCCACAAAGAATCGGCTCGAAGAGCCACAGATCATGCCATTCATTGCTTTTACACATGGTTTGCTCTGTCAGAGATTTCGACAGACTACAAGTGGCGTTTTGGAATTTTACAAATTACTGCCAAAACGTGATAGCAGAGTCGATAGATATACAGTACTTGTCTCCCAGCTGCTAATAGTTGAAATCCAATGAAAGTGGCATAATAAATATTTTTGCTACTTCAAGCACTGCAATCGCATTGTGGCAAAAGTTTGGCTCGAGCATAGCCAGAGTCAGATGCAAACATTTGAAATTGTTTAAAACAAGTTTTCTCTTATCTTTTTTAAACTCATATATTACTTCTATCCTTTTTAAAGGACTGCCTGTAAATATATTTTAATTCGGTTTGAAACATTATTTATAAAACATAAATAATGTTTTATGAATAATGTTTCAAACCGAATTAAAAGAGTCCTTTAAAATAAGTAGTCCTTTAAAATAAATTCATAAATGTCGTTAAATTTAATATTTCTATGAACTTTTACAATTTTGTACAACTTTTACAAATTGATTAGACAGTTTGTTTTTGTTCACCAATTCATTTAGGGTAAAATTGAAGTGGCAAAAAAACTTACTTAAAGCTGGCGTATCTGTGGACCTTCATTTGAAAATAATTTTGGAATTTTCCATAATTGGTAAGAAGAGGCAGCGAAAAAAGAAATTATACTAAACCTACCTATACACGTTATTATTAATATGGGATACTTTAAGGATTCTTTCTGAATCCGAAGAAAAAGGGTTGATAAAGATTATATAATATTACGGAAATGCATAAAAATATTAAACCAAGCGTTAGGATAGATTAAATTGTTACAAAAATGAAATTTATGATTTAGGGCGGATTTGGAGTTTATCAAAGTTTAATTTTAAGTCCGTATCTTTTTTATTAATTAATTAATACTAGGTAAATTATTGCAGGATGAAGTAAGAAAGGAGCTATGGTATATGTTATTCATGATTGATATTGTGTTTGTAAATGAGATAAAGAGTAATTAAAGTTGAGCCGGAAAAGCTTAAAAATAGAATGAGAGAGAGAGAGTGCGGGTGTGACTATGCAGACGCAAGCGAGCGAATTTTCCGAGCGAGCGAGAATATGTGGCGAGAAGAGGCGAGACGCGACAAATATCAAAACCTGTCAGATATGTGCGAGAACCAGAAATTCGCTCTCGCTAGCGTTATTTCTCGCTTCTCGTTTGTGCATGGTTTTCCTTTGCGAAAACTAAATCGCTCACAACCTCTCGCTCGCTCTAAATTCGCGTCTGCATAGTCTCACCCTGAGAGATTAAAACTTAGTAAATTTAGTTCTTGGAATTCGGATATAGGCTATTATAGGAGAGGTAATTACATTTCAGGGTACAAAAACGGAAATTTCAACTATTTAGCATCATATTTACAGGCAGATAATGGCAGAATAATTAGAGGATAATGAGTTAGAACAAAAGTAGGATGTCAAGAACTCAAACAGTATTATTAGATATTGACAGTGATAGCGATGATATAGAGTCCGAAAGACATGTTACTTGGTATTTTAGTCATATATAGATAGGCCTATATAGTATGATCTGTATATATAGGTTTATATATATAGAAAGAAAAGACATCAGTGGGCTTCCAATAAATCTGCATTTATGTTCTACTTTTATGATATCTTCGAGTCTAAATATTTTGGTAGCTTATATGTGAATGTCATAAGAAACGTAATATCATATGTGAAAAATACAAAAAAGCAAAAGTACAATATTCACTACGTTTGTAACAAAGTTCACACGTCTAATGAGATATATACTATTATAAAAGTAACTGTCATAATATAAGCTCACTTACAGGCGGCTCTGTCAGAGGATGGCTTTAGGAGGGCTAACTGAGTGGGGAGGCCAGTGAATAAATCGACAGGTTCTGAATAACGACACGGGTTGAACAAGAATAACACATTTAACAAACTATTAAATTATACAAAAAAAGGCAAAAGCGAATGGCTACAAAAACGGAATAATCCAAATATACTTCTAAATCGCGACTAGGATAGACGATCGTTGAATCGTCGTCTAAATACTGGCCTTTATACGCCCAATATCTCTTAAGATACACTAGCTTAAGTTCATAATCTAATAACCAATCATATAATCTAAGAGATGAGATTGAGAGACTAGAGAGAGCCTTCAACAATCGAATTACTTAAAAACACCTCAAATAAGTCTTGTATACGACGTCGTCGGGACTATCGTGGACCTGGGAGGTGGACATTGGCTTATCTTGGGACAGAGACGGCGATTACGGCGGGAAGACAAGGGTGACGTTGGTCGGAATGGCGGTATGGGTCTGGTGTCCCGATTAATGTCCGCTGGTTATGTCCCCTATGATGTTCTCGCCTGATGCAGTCCGCCCGAGAACTGTGTCCAAGCCCTTTTTATACATGTCCCGGAGGGGCTGAGTAATACTAAGTCTGATGCAATCCTATCTAAGGTTAATTAACGTCCGGGATTTGATTAAGTTAATTGTCAGAAATCGAAACCTTCCTGTAGATTTATTACTTCTTCTGTTCGGTATTGTCACTCTTTTCAATTCATAAATTTCAGTCAAAACAACTGAGTTAATAGAGAGATTGCGGCCGACGTTTTAAACGCGAAAACGTGTACGTCGGACGTTCAGCGCAGCCTTCCTGTAAGCCTAGAAGTTTGACAATAGCGTTTAGAACGTCGAGCATGATTTTACTGACATTCCAAACGCCATTGTCAATCTTCTAGGCTTACAGGAAGGCGGCGCTGAACGTCCAACGTACACGTTTTCTCGTTTAAAACGTTAGCCGCAACCTCTCCAATGGCTGGAGGTGACAAAGGTTACAGTTTATAGTGCAACTTTAGTAATAATTGTTTATTTGGTGGGTCATCGGATCGGCTTTATCGTTTGTAACATCGTACGACTTAGGAAGTGTGTGGGTGAGAATAATGATGAGAAAATAATTATCAACTTTGAAAATAATAAACGGGTCTGAATTCTCACACTTGACTAAAATTGTTTTTGATTAAAATTGATCTTAGGCTAAAGAAGAAAAGAAAAAACATCAATCGTATGTAAAATGTTTTATGAAATTATATGTTTATATTAATCTAAATTCGTAAAATAATTTGTCATTTCTTCTGCATATTGTCATTTGTAGGAAATCTATGAAAGAGATATTGATTCAGCCCTATTTTTGCCTTTTGATATTCAGCACATCTTTTGTTTTTATAATTTAATATTTTAAAAAATCTTCCTTTGTAAATAAAAATTTTAAAACAGTTACATTCAAACGACTTCAAGTCCGTAACAAACTCTATCATTCTCTTAATAATTCTCAAGTTTCTTAGTAGAGCGGTGGCACTATTGAATGAAAACGACAAAAAACTCTCACTCTCGTTAATATGGTGCACCTTTATACAACTAATATCCGGATTAGCGAAAGTCTGCTGTATTTACGACATATAATTTATATATGTTTGTGTGTAAATAAAGAACAGATTAAAATAAATCTAATAGTTCGATTGTGCTTGTTCGTTAATACATTTTATCCCAATTAAAATTTATAGTGAATTTCTTTTAATTAAAGATTTTTTAAATTTAAAGTCAATATTTGTTACCGATATAATTCAAACAAATTAACATTGTATTTTTTTTCTTCCACCGTATAACTTTAATAATAATGAATAAAAGTCATTGCTTACTGTTCTTGAAAATATCTGCCTTAATTGATACCATTTCTATATTCGAATACATTGGTAACATTGTATGAGAAAGCAGGTTTAAAAGTTATTTCGTCTGTTATTTCATGAACTTAAGAATATGAAAGTTTAAATATTGAACTTATGCATATCACAGTTATTAAGATTTTATTCCAATATTGAAATAAACATACAAACTTCGTGCGTTTATTTATCAATCAAAAACACAAAGATAGATATTTAACAAAATGCTATTCGTTTTAGTCTCTTTGAACGGTAATCCAATCAGTTATTATTATTGTGATGCGAATGTCATAGACAGCTGATACTGGTGTCAAGTACTATTCCGGAATAAAGTCAAGGAATAGCTATCCAAACAGGTGTTACATTAAGCTACTGTGTTATTTGAATATGTGTGAATGTCTAGAAACTTCCTAACGATGTAACGTGTTTAATATTGCACCATGTATATGATTTTATTAAGGTTTTATGTCTATACTTTTGTGTAGTGTACGTAGTAAAACATCAGTAAAAGAGGGAACAACAGGAAAATAAATATCCATTCGCCACGTCTGTCTTATTTCTTGAGCGACTGAATGTACTGTACTGTGCTGTTGATTTTTCAGTGTGAGCAGTCTTTTTTTATGTTGTGACAGTTTGGAACAGAGATGTCTATTATATGTGATAGCCAACCTTTCTGATTTTACGGACCACTAAACTCACAATTTTGTATCCCGTGGACCATTATCATTAAGTTTTTTAAACGACACGTGTAGAGTATAGAATAATGATCAAAAAAGTTCCATTTTACTTTATTAATATGAAATTCACTTGTTTAATTATAACAAATTAGTGTGAAGTTTGTTGCTGCTTGTTTGAAATAAGTTTATGATTTCTTGCCTCTTTTCTACAATTGAACTCAGAACATTATTTATTGATAACAATCCATTTTGTGTTTGGTTTTAAATTTAAATAAAAAATCCGAATGACTGAGAAAAATCAACCAAGAATTTTGCACTTCTTTCGTAATACTTCGCGTCACCTCGACATGATCAATGTCCAAATTTTTCCACGATTACCAGTTGGAGACCGTTGATATAAACGATCTTACTGCATTTGTCGATGAGAGTGATGTCAGATCGATTGTGATAAATTGTTTTATTTGTGATATGGCTCTGTCATAGTATATTTTCTGTGTCATTTTTTAAACTGAACTGTGGAGTATATTAACTACTCAGGTACAATAGAACAAATAATCTGTGTTTGTGTGCAAGATTTTGGTGTATTATATTTACTATTTGATTATGCATATGTAAATAGCCTGTTTGAGCTAACAGTATGCACCCAGAGGTTATATGTTGTATTGTTTTTGGCAGTGTGTGGCATTATTATTTTTAATTTCAAAATTTGTTTTAAAAATGAATAAAAATAATTAATTATCTTTTTTGTTTTATAAGTAAGAACGAATTCAGTTTGATTCTCTTAGTATAAATTCTCTGTTTAACCTGTTATATAAACCACTATTTTGTTAGATAAATCACCTAACGAAATGCAAAATTCGACAGAGATATACGATGAAATACTAGGGAAAATAAATTTTTCAGAAGAATTTATGGAAGTATATAAGAAAAAGAAAAATTGTCTTCGATTTCAATATTCGAAATTTCCATTAGAAGGCAATCAAACGGTAAACCTTATGTTTCATTACTATTATATATTTTAAATATTTATTTTTTCGTTTTCAAAAAGAAATATAAATATAACGGTTTTTAAATTAACGGAAATCGAACAATTTCGGATAACATCTCAGATAACAGTGGGGTCACTGTTGCTTTCCGGGTAATAATCATCATTTACAAGTTATGCTTTTTGACTTCTAGATATTCTTTCTAATGTTTTTCGTATAATTTTATTATGCAGGCTTACGAGAAATATCTTAAACGCCACGGAGAAGAACCTCATCTTCCTGGTCTCGACTTTACAAACAAACAAATGTTTTTCATTGGATATGCTCAGGTTAATTCATACATTTGAAATGTGATTAAAAATAAGTTAATATTGCTTAATATGCTTTGTTTTATAAAAACCTTATTGGTATTCTGATAAAAATCTGGAAAATAAGTAAACAACAATGAAAACATTATAAAATTTTGATTTGCCAAAAATAATTCAAAATATATTAATTCAAATAAGAAACTTTTTGTAGATGATCTACATAGCCCTGGAAAATATAGGTAATAATAGAAAAATAAACAATCTTTATCATGACAGAAAGCAAAACCTGGAAATAATGAACACTGAAATGCTTAAAATAAAATCAAAGTTAATTATTTAATTTTTGACAGAGACTTTTATCATGGATAAGGCTACAAAAGAAATAAAATACTAAACTAATAATAATTGTACATTTTGTTTATTTTGATTAGAGTCCTGGATCCTCTAATGAATTCACCAGTGTTTGCTAAAGTTTTCAACTGTCCCTTGAAAAGTTACATGAATCCTGAGCATAAATGTCGATTATGGGGATGAATTGTATTTACTGTACTGTACATCCAAATTCAAAAATCAAATATTTATCATTGGTCAGTTGCACTGAAATTCATATTAGAATTTTGTTTATACAGCTTTTTCGATCAAACAATTAAGAGAAATTGTGAGCATTTTTCATTTAAGACGAAAGCTATTCAGCAAAGTACGACTGAGAACGGAAAGAAGGAAATTAGCAATCAGACTACGCCAGGGTTGCCACCTCAGAACTCTGTCTCGCCCGGAGACTATGATTTAAGAAACAAAAAAAAAACCTATGCATACATATACAGTTTTTTTATAAGTCCCATAAAAAAACAATTAAGTGTTAATCGTGCGTCATTAAATGTTGATTAAAATCGCGATAAAATTTTTTCGCGCGGGTAAAAATTTTTGAATTAAAAAACATCCAAAATATATATATATATTGGATGTTTTTTAACGGTCTGTTGGACCCTCAAAAAAAATTTAAAATTTTTTTGAGGGTCCAACAGACCGTTTGTTAAGTAATGCTATTTAAGCCAACGACTACCACACTAGTAATTCGGTACACGGGGAAAGAAATATATGCGACGGTTTGCATATAATTTTGTACATATTCATTTCGATTTGCACAACCCGGAGAAATATTAATTAACCCCGGAGCCCGGAGATAACTCACTCAATCCCGGAGTCTCCGGGTCAAACCCGGACAGGTGGCAACCTTAATTTTGGCCCAGTTAAGTGGCTGCCCCAATTAAACGAACTAATAATAAATTCTATAATAAAATATGTAATA